TCCCTCCCTTGTTCTTCCTACCCGTCTTAGACTTGTTCTCCTCCATCTCCTTGCTCACTTGTTCCGCCTCCTTCGCTTCCTTCTGTGCCCGCTTCAATCTGGCCTGACGCTTCTTGACCGGCTCCTCCGTGTATTTCTTGTACTTCCCGGCCCTTCCTTCCGCAATAGCCAAGTCAATGATGGCGCGGAATCGCTCATCATCATCAATGACATTACACAGCATCACAGAGTCGTAGATTTTATCCAGATCGCCCCGGTGGACTTCATAGGCCTGCAGTATATCCTTGACCTCTTCCTCAGACCCCTGGTATTCCTTCTTGAGCTTGTCGATCGCATTGACATCGACAGCGGTGGCGAACTGCTCCCGGTAGAACTCCGTCCAGTCGAAATCCTCATCTTCGTCCAAGGCGTCCTCCGTACTACCGGTCTTATCGAATCTCGCGCGGCGACGTTCATCAGAAAGGACGGCGTAAGCGAAGGCGATTTTTTGGAATTTGCTGTTCGCTTCTTCTTTCTTGCTCGGGGGTGCCTTATCTGTTACTGATGATTAGACAGCCCATCCCACACAAGTGATAGCTAGATGATAGATATAGTAAAGTATACACTTACCAGGATGATGCTTCAGCGCTTTCTTCTTATAAGCAGCCCTGATCTGGTCTTGAGTCGCCTGGTCATCGAGACCGAGAACCTCATACAAATCAAGAACTCTGCGCCGGGGTATGATTATTTCACCGTTTTCATCGCGTTCGACCGGTTCCCGCTTTTCCTTCTCTTCCTCTGAATAAGGCCCCTCTGGATCCTCCCCAACTTTCCATTTGTAGCGGTGGAGGGGGTTTGTGATAGGCATCTGACCAAGAGACCAAAAAGGTCCAAGTAAGTGATGAGAAAAGAAAAGAAAAGGGGGGATGCGTCTATTGAAAGAAGAAAAAACTAAATCAAGAAGTGATGCAAAGTAGCTGAGGTAGAAGACATAACACCTCGGCCGTGAATGTTCGCGCGCAACGCAATAAAATCAAACGAGACAAACACCCCAAAACGCGCGGGACGCGAATCCCACTTATCTTTCCTAAAGCAGTTTAGCCGCGACCAGCCGGCATCAATCGATAACCTAACTATCAGATAGTATTCTATGCGGTCATACTCTTATTCCCCCCACTCATACTAACCTAGCTATCACATAAATAACTCTTCTTCCCCTTCTCTACACACAGCACACATACACATACATACACACAGTTACAACAATCCAAACACAACAACCATCACCAAAAATGACCACAGACTCGGGAACCCCCAGCACCCCCCACCTCACCTACATGACCCAATGCCTCGCGCTCGCACGCAAAGCCCCCGCCCTCCCAACCAACTTCCGCGTCGGCGCTCTCCTCCTCAGCCGAAGCAAAGCCGACACCACCCCCAGCTACACCTCCGACATCCTGCTCTCAACCGGCTATACAATGGAACTCGCCGGCAACACGCACGCCGAACAATGCTGTCTATCCAACTACGCCTCCGTGCACGGCGTACCTGACGAGGAAGTGCACACTGTCCTCCCCCACGACGATCCTGAAAGGAAACTAGTCATGTACGTGACTATGGAGCCCTGCGGGAAGAGACTCTCGGGCAATGCGCCGTGCGTGGAGAGGATCATTAAGACGAGACAGGGTGGGGAGGGACAGGGTATACAGAAGGTGTACTTTGGGGTGAAGGAGCCGGGCACGTTTGTGGGGCAGTCGGAGGGGGTCAGGAGGTTGGAGGAGGCGGGCGTGGAGTGGGAGGTTGTGCCCGGCTTGGAGAGGGAGATTTTGGAGGTGGCGGTTGAGGGTCATGAGAGGGAGAAGAGGGAGGAGGTGGTGGGGAAGGCGTTGGAGGGGGTGAAGACGGATTTGGATAATGTTAGTGAGGAGGAGAGGAGGAGGCAGGAGAGGCAGCCGAGGAATCCTATGAAGAGGATGATGGAGGGGGAGACCATGACGTGAATTTTTCTTTTCTTTGGGGGGGTTATTTGGTTGTATTGTAGGGTTGGGTTGGGGTGGTGGGCGTGGGCGTGGGAATTATGTTGATGCCGCTGGCGGTATTCTTGTCTTGTCTTGTCTGGGTTGGGGTATAGATGTGTATAGTGGGTGAAGGCTAAGGTGCATAGTATTTATGGCTTAAGGGGTGATATGTACAAAGCTAGATTCCTGATGAAGTTTGGAGGACTACTTACGAAACCAAGATTTGAAAAGTGGATAGAATGGAGTATCATTGGCATGCTGGACATGCTTCTGTCCTTGAACCCTACTCCCTCACAGCACGAGGTGAAGATCGGTATTATTGTGTCTAATGTACCTGTCTAAGCTCCCTTCAGAGGATGACCGCTTGTTCTGTAATCGGTATCGGAGATAGCGACGGGACTGCTATCCCATATGGTCCATTCTTGCGGTGGTGCGCGGGTATCATGCCCTCCATGGTTCTATCCACAACTTAGGCAATATTGTCAGTCACACATCGGCCAACCGATCAGCCCACCTGAACTCCCTCAAGACCCTCAAGGACCTCTTCACCAACACCCCCCTTCTGCAGGACCAGCTTGAGCATCTTTGCAATCGTGCGCCGCTTGACACCACCCCGTCGGGGTCTCCAAACGCCAGCAACCTCTTCGCCAGTAGACGGGTCCGTCATGGCGGCCTCTTCGGCAGCGGCCGTGGAGCCCAGAGTCGCCACGTTCTCCGAGTTCGATACACCCGGCTGCGTAAGACGAGACGGGGGGTCGACTGTGCGAATAGAGAGCAGTTTCAGGCCATCCGAGTCACTATCCTGGGTGACAGAAACAGCTAGGACCGTATCCGCAACAGCAATCTCCTCTCTGTTTGGATCAAAGATGACATTATCGCCGACAGAAATAACAAGCAGCGTCACAGGAGGCCGGACCTGCTTCGTAGAAGAAAGACGAGGCCCCGACTGCGAGCGAGGGTATAGATATTCAGCGGCATTCCAATCATCATCGAAGAAGGGGTCTTCCTCTCCCTTCGACTTGAGCTTAGGCAGCTTAGTCGACAAGAGAGCCAAATGAGTCGTCAAAGACAGCAACGGCAACGGATACGACAACGGCTGAGACAGCAGCAGCACCTGCACAAACATCATTAGCACCATTCACCCCCTCCTACCCCCCTTCGAAAGATCACTCACATCAATATACAACCTCCAATGCCACCTCTTATTAATAACCAACCTCCCCTTCAACCCACCCGCCATCTCATCCCCACCCAACCCATCACCAGCACCAGCAACCGACTCAACAAGCGGCTCGCGCATCATCTCCGACAAGAAAACCGGGAGGGCATCATCATCCCGAAACCCGGGGATCTCTATAGACATCTGCACCCACGACCCATGACCATGACTGGAGGTTTTCTGGCCCTCTCCGCCTTCGTTATCGGCATAATCTTCTTGCGTTTGCTGTTGCGATAGGTTCAGCGCTTCAGCTGCAACAACGGTCTTTTCCACCTCCGCTTTCACTCCCACAATGGCTTGCGTGCCGTCAGCGAACCCCACACGCGCGCTACCGTTGGTGCCCGGCAGAATGTCTGTTTCTGCGGTCAACGGGCGGAATTGCGTGGGCGAGCGGCCGTCGGGGCGGATGGGGCCATCGGGGAGTGATAGTGATGTGTAGAGGTAGGAAAGCTCTGCTGGGGAGATGAGGGGCGTTTGGGAGGCGGAGGAGGCCTGGCGTTGAGCGGTCATTTTGTGTAGTTGTTGTTATGGATTTTGAGGTGAAGATGGTGGGGATTATATTGGCAGGTCGATTGGTAGCCTGCGACTTCGAAGTCTTGCGCGGAAGGATGGCTGACGGGGAATGGTACCGCGCGGGGTTTGTTGGCGGTAGATTGAGGCTTCAATGGCGGTGCCTTCAATTGTAGGGCGCTCTAGATCAAGCCACTCACGCCAATATCGAACTTCTAAACAGCGTCGCGACAAATCCAGTCTCGATGAGACTTTTGACGTAGTGCTGCATTGGGAAATTCTGCCGGTGGGCGGGGAATGGTTGTTCCGTGACTATCGCCGGAAGTACGCCAGTTGCGATACAACAGGAGAGCACATGAGAGCATCACGACACTACAAGCTTAGTTAATAATTCTACAAGATGAATTGGAATTGTAATGATAAAGTATGTTGACAGACAGTGTCTGTTCCATTAACAGTAGATATAAACAGACGGCTCTCCCGTCGGGTAAGTCCTATATTACAAAATTGTTCAAGCCCAGAACCAGCCACCAGTGCTCCTTCCCAAAAAGTGGTAAAATTGTACAATAGATGAATGGAAGTTCTTTTGTTCTTGTGGAGGAAGCTTTCACATCGCTTCCCATCCGCGCATTGAGACAGAAAGGAATGAGGGGGGTAAAGAGAAAGAATGATGAGGGAGGATCAATGCCCGGGAAATATACAGAGGGGTGAAGGGAGTTTGACAAAAGGAAATGGTCGACTGCAGGGGTCAGGGCATATGCGGGGAGCTGAGTATGCAGGTGTTAAGAGTATATATCGAAGGAATGATAGCAGACATTGCGACTCGCGCGATTGGTATCAGTGCAAACAGATGAGCAATGTGCAGGGGATGTTAGGATATCAAGGAACGAAAGACATATATGCAAGTGGTATACCGAAAACAAGGTGCGAGGCCGACGGTATCTATAGAAGGGCCTTTGGGGTATGAAAACAGAACCAGACAAATGAAAGAAACCCGGGCTGAACCATGGCCTATGCAAACATGGGTACAAATCAAAGCGCAGGATACATAAGAACAAAGACACAATGGAATGTGAAAAAACGAGAAAAGATAAAAAAGCGGCCAACCTCCGTGGATAAAAGAAACAGTAGACACCAGATCCCATACGCCTTGCTCGGTTAATTCGCCGATTCCGCGCGTGACCACCACGTTTTTGTTCTTTTGATTAAATATGAACAAGATCTGTGAAAGATGAAGAAATGAAAAGAGTTGTGCCTTCGCCAACATGGAGAAGCTAACGACAAGTTGCTGAGCCCGTCAGGAACTTTGCCGGAGCTGGCTTCGCCCAGTCACCATCTTCATATGGAGGGGTTGGCCATTGGCGACTGGTATTTGCGTCCGTCTTCTCCTCCGCGAGGGGCAGGCGTCTGCATGGCGTTGCGTCTGAGTGACCGAAGCAGACGCCATCGCACTTGGCAGATGGGGAGGGAGTAGGATAAGGACTGGGCAGGGGGCGAGAGCTGTCGTTACCCACGGCTGGGCGACTGTAGTTCGACGAAACTTCCGATGACACTTCAGTCTGTGCCAAACGCCTAGCAGCCCTGCTCGCCGAATGCAAGACCTCATCCAGCAGCTCGTCCTCCTCTTCAGGAGTCTCATAGCGGTGGATAGGGTTGTTCGACATCTGCATTGCGCGCCTAGTCCGGCTGGAGATTGGCCCGCCAGTGCCGCTGGTCGAGACAGGGCTTTCTCCCATCGAGCGAATCGAGCCCTGCGGCATAGATTGGCGCTTGGTGCTCTCGATAGGGGAGGTGATTTGCACGGGAACATTGCCAAGGGCGGCCGAGTCAAGCGAATGTTTCACAGTCTGGAGCGCCTTGTCCAGCTCCGAGAGATCGGAACCCTGCTTGGACTCTCCAACGTTGTTGACAGAGTCCAAAGCCAGAGAAGACCGGTTCGACCAAGGCATGCAGCCAGCGTTAGCCTCAACATCGTCGGGACCAGAGTTAGCCTGGTTGCGACCGGATAGTCTGCGAGCGCGCTTGCGGAGGTGCGAGAAGAAGCTCTCCTTGGGGGTCACTGCGGAATACACGGTGCCCCCGCCATTGAGCGCTCTCTCTGCTTCTTGGCGGTGGATATCAGCGTAGTGATTACCGTGCGAGTTGACAGAAAGCTGTCTGCCAATCTTCTTGCTCGCCTTGCTGGCGTTGGCACTGTCGCCTGAATGGGCGAGAGACGAATTGGCTTGCGCTGTGACCGCATTAGAGAGAGGAGAGACTGGCCTAATCGAGGGCAGAATAGGCATTGGAGCCCCATTAGCCCAAGTGGCACGCTTACTGGCCGCCGGCTTGCTCTTCCCAGCCTGAAGGTCCGAATAAGCCACCGATTGCTTGGAGGAGTTCTCACTCTCCACAGGTGGCACCGGGCTTTCCGATCTGCCGATCAAGGACCTCCGGAACCACGACGACTTGTATGACAAGGTCGAAGATTCGCTCGCATCACGATTGGCGGACTTGAAGCTCTTGTCCGATTGCTTCCGGCCCAGAAGGCGAGCTGTGGAAGACTTGGGTCTCAATGGGTCAATGGCATCAGCAAAGTACTCATGGTTGAGGGCCTGTGTCGAAGTCGGTCTATTCTTAGGATCCCACATCAAACACCACGTGACGAACTGGCTAAGAGCGGCGGGCCACTGGGGCGCCTGAAGGATGCTTTCCATGGAATGGGGCGCCATCTACGTTTCATTAGTAATCGCATTGTACCGCGGGTAGCGCAGGGTAATCTTACCTTCGGGAACGTAAATCCCAGCTTCTGGGCAAGACGCGAGCCCTCTCTCCACTCACCACCTCCGAGCTTAGCCCCCGACTTACTGTACCAGTTACCAGGGCTTCCCATAATCTCACAAACACGCCAGACCTGGTCGACTTCGTTTCCACCAGGGAACAGTGGCTTCAGGGTAGCAATCTCGACCGCCATGGCGCCGATAGCCCACATGTCCACCGGTGCTGAGTATTCTCCTGCACGCAGGAGAACTTCAGGCGCCCGATACCATCTGGTAGAGACATATGTCGTGTAGGGGAGCTTGGAGTGAGTCTCTCTGGCGAGACCAAAGTCGGCGATCTTTACAGTATATGTCGGGGGAGTAGAAGGAGGAGTGACGAGGTTAGAGTAACGGCTGAAAGCAGAGTCGTTGGGGGCGGATGTCGAGACGAGGATGTTTTCGGGTTTGATGTCGCGATGGAAGAAGTGGTGGGCATGGATATGGTCGAGACCCCCCAAGATTTGGTAAAGGATGCTCTTGACATGCTTGCCATCGAGGGGCTTGTGATCCCGGGCTTTCATTAATTGGTAAAGGTTGCCATCCATATACTCCATGCAGATGTGTAGTTTGCGTGAGAGCGGGTCGAGGAAGATATCGAGGGCTGGGACAAGGTGGGGATGGGGGGGCAGGGATCGCAGAAAGATGACTTCACGGAGTTCGAGGCAGGGAGCCAATGACTCGAAGGTCTTCTTCATCGTCTTGATGGCAACCTAGGAACAGGAATTAGCAACCCCAGCGAAGAAGAGCGTCAATAGGGCTCGCGATAACATACCATCGTCCCCCTCCGTGCAACATTGGAACCAGCAGTCCGCACACGTGCGACTGCCACGCTACCAAAGCTGCCATCACCCACTTCCTTGAGGACCTCGAACCTGTCTTCGAGGCTGGCGACTGAAGTGGGCGCAGCGCCCCGTGATAAGGAGTGGTGGTCGTAGCAGACAGTCATTGTGTCTCTTTCTCCCTTCTCTTCTCTGCCAGCAGAAAATCCAAGAGAACTTTGTGCGGCGTTGAGGGGCCTGAATTAAGAGGTAAGGAATGTGTAGAGGAAGTACACGGCTCTTCCAGTTTGAGTGTGTCGGGAATGTCGATAGATAGGATCAGGTGCGCATCATTCGCAGTCAGGCAATGTGATATCCACGGGGAGTGTTGTGGTACTTTCCCATGGGTAGGTATGGGTGAAGGTGCAGGATGCGATAAGGATTAGGTGCAGAAGAGATTCGGGACGAAATTGGGACCCAGAGACGAGGGGAAAGGGGTAGTCATGTAGTTCTCAGGAAAGAAGCGAAGGTGGAGGAGAGGGAAGATCTGGAAACCAGATGGAAGACCCAGAGGAATGGACGTGATCACTGTAGTGATAGGAGCGGATCCGGATGGGTGGACACAGACTAAACGAAAGGATGATCGGAGGCCGCCTTGGACAGAGAGAGAGGGGGGGGGGGGGGGTTGTTGTTGTTGTGGTGGTGGGAGGGAGGAGGAAAAGAGTAATTAGTTAGTACGGAGTAGGAAAGGGAATAACTCGACAAGCCCCTGACGCGGTGACAGCTTTAGCCTTTACCAGCTCCAAGACGAAGAGGAGAAGTTGGGTCCGGGCCGTGGGGACTGAAGAGGCGGTCGACGACGAAGCGGGTTTGGTGAAAAAGGCGATGGTGCAGATCCGAAATAAAATAATATAAACCATAAAAATAATAATCATGCTTCCAAAGAATAAAATGATGCAGGTGGGTTTTTACTTTTTTTATTGAGGGGTTAAAAAAGGACTGAACCGGAGGGACGGCCAGTGGATGACATGGACCCAAATGGTCGAATTGTTTTTTCCCTTGGGAATTGACGGCAGATGCACGACAGAGAGAATGTGATGATCATGCAGAGTTCTTGTTGTTGTGGTTCTCCATTTGAGGTTGGGGGAACGACGACGAAGGGGGAGGGGGGGAAGGGTGGGCGAGTGGCAGAAAAGAAGGCAACAATTGAGGTGTTAATATGAGGGCCGAACGGTGACGCGAGTGGTCCAGCGAGAAAGAGACGCGAAAGAAAAGGCCGGAGTAGCAAGCCTAGAGAGGCAAGATTACCTAGTAATTCAAACGGGACCTCAACTTGAGTCTGAACTACTACCCAGTTCACTTGCTTCTAACTACTTTTCTACTAAACCCAAGCTACCAAGCGCCTAGTAATATTAACCCTCTCTGGCCATTCGCTCCAGTCTCCGTATTAGCCCAGCCACTAAGGTATCCGCGCGAAATCGGACTCCGTAATCGTCCTTGGGAAAAAGAGAGAGAGAGAGAGAGAGAGAGAGTCATTCATTCATACCGACTGAATTCGTATTATTACTTAGCTACTAATAATAATACCCATGAATAATGTGGTCAACGCCATACCATGCTGCGTTTAGCGGACTTTTCCTCCACCGGACTAGTCCCGACCACTTGGTCACTGAGAGAGGAATGGTCGAGGAACGGAGACCCACCCTTTTCACCCAAGGAATCCGAAAAGGAGGTTCAGGGAGTTTCCCAACTTACCATACACGGGCGGCCCAAAGAAGGGGGGGAAAAGAACCCTCGAAGGCGGCACCTGGCGGTTCGGGTTCATGGTACATTACCGAAAAGGTCAAGACGAAAACATGGAAATGCACCACAATAACTTATCCCCGCGGCTAAGATGGAGAAATCTTGGGACAACGATCGTTTGGAACATGCTTGCGGAGTCCATACAGTTAATAGAGAGCAGTGATGAGGAAACACCCAGTTCTGAAGTCTACACCTTTGGGAGGAGCAAGAAAGAGAAAGGAATAGATCCGTCGTTCTATCGAATTCCCCCAACTCAAAGAAGGAAAGAGACGAAAAAAAAAAAAAAAAAGATAAAAAAAAAAAAAAAGGTGATTACTTTTTTCTTTCCCCTCAGATTGACTGTTCGTTAGGGTAGGTTTCGGGGTTTACGGTTTGTTTGTTTTGAAGAGTCCCCGGTCCACGAAGAATGCCGTAAATTACTGTCTTCCAATTACCGACATTTCGAACGGAAAGTCCCATGAATTCCACGAATGATTCTCATAGCTTTTAAGCTGAGTATTGCTTGCTGGCTAGTCCCTTAAGCAAGAGTAAGTACTTTGCGTAGGGCAGCTTGCTTACTTGCCCATGAAGCGAGTTCCCTTATGTTGAAGTATTAGACACAGCAATCTTGATCAGTGTGATCCGTAGTATTGTTTCCAACCAATCGCCTCCATCCAGATGTATCTTCCGAGGTACTTTGCCTGTGTTGACTAGGTGATGATAGTGAATCACAGTGTCTCTCCCGTTCAGACGGAGACTACTACAGACCAGTTGTGTCATATCTTTACATTACATCTGAATCGGGACACATCCCCGATCCTTTCTTAAGAGTTGTCATTCTCAACTATATCGAAATTATGTGGCGCAACTGTCGTCGTTTGAGCCCATGCCGGGGCAAATGAGATTCATCGCGAGGTGAAAGGATCTAACAAAGTTCGGTCTAAGATGAGGTGTAGAAAACAGTTTAGACTGTTCAAAAAATCCCGTCTTAGAGATTTGGAGGAAGAGCAGACTTTCTCACTTTCAAAGAGATCGAAATGAAAAACGGCCTGGGAGGAACCTTAGGTACTTCATGCGACCAGTCATCATCACACGTCGCTTTGAAGACTCTGGACTCTGGCGAGGTCCAGCCTTAATCGACTCCACTTAGTCTCCGCCTCTAGTAATCGTTAGACGGGCGCTAGCAAGGTTGGCCAGGGGTTGGGCCGCGTCTCTCTTGCTTCAACCTGGGTTGCAACCTTTTTCCCAGAGTGATGCGACTTGCTGCTCGGCCATCCCACTCAGGGTCTCGGATAATCATGACACTCTAGACTCTCCAGCGAATGTGACAGGTAGTGCTCCCTACACCCTAAACCGTGACGGTTGTACGGGGGTTTCGCCTCGTATAATCCATCATTCAGGGGGTCGCATGTGATACCCGCATTACCTCATCTATAGCATCACCCCAGAGGGTGGAAAGAGAAGGGAAAATAAAAAGAAAATAAGACGAGCTGCATCAAAAACCCAGATTTGAGTTAAGATTACGGCGCAGGCTATCCTTGCCGATAATATATGAGCGTAAAATAGCTTGCCAGCCGAGGAATCATAACTCACTACTAATGCCTGTTCTGGGGCTTTGTTAGTCTACTAGTTAAGTAAGTAGCTCAAAGTTGCTAGTTGCTGACTTCCGAATTAGATAGAGAGAGGTCAGCCGGGGGATCCACAGGACAAGGAAAAGAGAAGATACTCCAGGCAGTGGGCAGTTTTACAGTTCATGCACGTTGTTATCTGGATCCATTATTATTGATAGTTCATCTGTTGTCTTGAACAATGGATCTAGCCAACAGTGGCTGGACATGTATCCATCCCCCGTACATCCGTCGCCTGCCTGCCCCCCCTCCCCCTCTTTATTATGCTTAGGTGGCTGACCGCCAGCATGGCAACACTTACAGTAAGTTAGTTGGAATACCCACAGGCTGCAACGACTGATCTTCAAATCGAGCCTGGAAACTGTTTTGCCATCTGTCGGTACTACATCGATAGAGATGTGGCTTGCATGTCTGCCCCTCCGGGTATGCTGGTCCCGTCTTTATTGGGTAATCTACATGTGTAACACTTTTCCGAGGGTTGAAACGGTAGGGATTGCTTGGTCGAAAGTTGATAGATTCATCAACAGTGGGAGATGGCCGAAGGAAAAGCGTCGTTGTTTCATCGATACTATTGGTGCTTCAGCTGACTGACAGAAAGAGAGGATGACAAAAGGAAAGAAAAAAATAGAAAAGTTTTCGTAGTAGTGTGAGAGAAAGTACTGTTACCCGGAAAAAGAAGGAACAACAGTAAGACGCCGTACTACTATGTCCGAGGGAAAGGCAGGATGCCTTGTTCCAATCATCCACAGAGGTCTCCGCTACCCGCGCTTGACGTCTACAAGGTTTAAGACAATTCCTGGTGCTTTAAGAAAATAACTCAGCTCCATGGCAATCAACATATATGAGACGATTCTGAGTACTATGTTTCTGAAGGTTACGCGTTGCCACATTCTGGAGCTGAGGGTTGTCTCGAACTATCGGGTCAGTATGGATATGTCTTCGGAGTTCCATGGACCACATACTCCGTGCGCTGAATCACGTAGAAGCTCCAACTATTCAAGCCATCAAAGTCCCCAAAGATTTGCATTGTGCTTAGAGCGCGATATTCCACTGAGGGGCTACCCCATAGGGATAGAGGGCGATGCTCTCAGCGGTACTTCCTTACGAACTGATGCATACATTATGCACATGTATGGCTGATGCTGAATCCTTCTGGATGTATAGACTTCATACATCAAGCGAAGTTGATCAGCTGTAGCTAAGCCTGTGCATCTGCGAGATCAGATCCAGGACACAGACTGGTGCACAGTAGAAAGTACGGGGCACATTAAGTACGCAACACGGCCATTGCTTGTGTAGGACAGCTGTTACCACAGTTACCATTTCCTATATTTTTTTTTCTTCTCTTTTCTACATGCAAAAAGTTCAGTTCGCCACTGGATACACCAATTCTTGAGACGAGGGAACCGCAGATAGACTCATTTACCAGGCCTTTTCCGTTTTACCCTTGCAATGTGGGGTGATCATAGCCGATCTTATGATAAGATGTCATCGCTGGGAACTTTGATGACGGAGAGGATCATCAACCCTCACAGACGGCATTAGTAGGCGGGCATAATGGCCAAACTTTGAACCGGCAATGCTCAAATGCACTACATACTCAAAGCAGCATAGATAGTGGCTTCATTGGCGTGATCATTTCCCATATACAGTAGTACTGTTATGCACGGAGTAGGGTGTCCTTCTTGATAGGAAGATATGGGGATTTCCATTCCTGTCACGGTGGCGGGTGATGGGTCATGGACGGAGAAGCCATGTCTTGAAGTTGATCAATTCTGGAGCCGAGACGCGTATGATCAGCTACACCGCACCTACGACCTGTGTACTGTTTACACTCGTTATTAAGATCCGGTTTTGATGACAGGCCATACAGATGCCAAAAAAGGGGTCTAGAGATGGATTGGTCACCGCTTGTGTCACTTGACCGGTGACAGGCTTCAATAAACCACTCGGTGGGAACGGCGAAGAATGGAGACTGTCAGTCACCGTCTTTTTGAGGTCCATAGCAGTATCCTCTCTCCCCCTCTTCTTTGGTGTTCTTCTCGTTTCTTCATTTCCATTCATGAAAGATGGGAGGAGGGGAAGGGATGTATGCTCTGGGGAGAAAGAAGAAAACATTGAGGGGTTTGTGTTCTCCATACACAGTAAATGAGGACTGTGCGATGCTGTGGTGGGCCAACCAACCAACCACTTGAGAAAATCACGACTCGTAATCTTGCCGGCATGACATCTGCTTCCCCCCCCCCCCCCCCATTAATGGTCTTTGCTCTTCTTGCCACGGAGTGTCTGCCCTCCCGCTACCTGGGCTACGCGCAATTTGTTTATTTACTTCTCCATCTGTTTTGGTGTCTCCTTGGGTGGCATCATGCCATTTTGACTGTTAATTTACATAATCACGTTTTAACCACAATAATATCGGCTGTCCTTCCAATAGAGAGAAGGCTACCCGACATTAGGCCAAAGTGACAACCACCACCACCACCACCACAACAACTAACAACTACAAAGACAGAAAAAAAGTTGTGCGTGGGATTTGAAAAGAGGGGGTAAAGCCAATGATTGCAATTTCTTGGAAAGTTTCGGGCACCAGCGCAGAAAGGGAAGGGTGGGTGACTGGTACCGGAGTCCTAGACGAGTTGCTGATGGGCCTCCACCCCTAAAACGGATAGATCAGAGGGTCGGAAGACGTGGTTCTCATGGAACCAACGGGTTTAGTCGACCGCCGGCCGTCTGAGTTACCAGCCAAGGGTGATTGGAAAGACCCAACAGTGGAGCCGCTTCATTCGAATGAGTGGATGAAAGGCATTTCGCAAGCGGATACCGTGGACCTGCTGATTGCGCCGGGGCAGTCGGGGAATGCGGGTCCCCACTCGGCGTGAGGCCCGTCCCCGCTACCCGACAGACCCGGCTATGGATCTAGTTCTCTAGTCAGCCAGTAGTCGTTGCGTCCGGCGAGATGGTGAGGATTACGATGGAGTCCCCAAACGCATCCGTTACCAACAAATGGATCTCCTGGGTGTCTCGCGGCCCAGTTGACCTATCTCGCTAGCAGCTCCGCTGCTCCTTAGGGATCTCTTAGCCCTGCTACTATGCCAGTAGCTTTCGAAGCCGGCTCCTTCCAAGAGCGATCCAGAAGGATGAAGGACGTTCATGGAATCGACGAAGAAGAAGATCAGGAGACGAAAATCTCGCAATTACCTTCTCTAGGCAAAGAAGCTCATCGTGAGCGGCACCCCCGTCGGCTTTGCCGCTTGAGTTGACCGTTGGAGCGGAATAACTATGGGTAATAATATTGAGAGTGGCTCTCTATCGTCGACGGACTACGGAACGCCATGGAGGATCAACAAAGAATTCCCTGCAGGTAGAGCCGACTAAAGACCTTCTGGAACGCCACTAAGGATTCCACATTATTAATTCTCAATTGTCCCAGTCCATGACCTTCTTCGGGGGGGTGATCAAAAGTACCTACGAGCTTAGGCAGGTACAGGATGTGCTTGCATCAGGATGTGCGTTCTCCAGATGGATACCTCTGCCCGGTTTCTGCTCTTACTCACATGGGTGCCACCTTTCAGTGGGTGCGCTGTGTCTCCCCGACTGTGTACAGACCCTCCTGTTGATCAGTCCCATCTAGCAAAGACAAATTCCATCAAGGCTGGCCAATCGTGATGTGAGTCAGGCTTGCGTTGACCCTAACGAAACATGATTGCTGGATTAGCCGGCTGGACTTGCAGTAGTCTCAGGGTGTCTGCATTCCCGCATGCCAGATCTACCCTTTTCCCTCTTTTTGGCTCCCATTTTCCATTTTCTCCGACGCGGTGTGCAGAAAGCTGTGTAGATCGATGAGAATCCTACTAGGATATCGGAGGACTGTGAAGAAAGTCCGATGAGAATGTAACCTCGCTTCAGATATGATGCATCTCTGCCAGCCTATGAAGAGGCGGGGAAGGCAGATATACCAGCGGAATTGACTGACTTTTCAGCTCACTTCATTCAAGTGTTCATAATTCCTTTTCTTCCCCTCATCTTTGGGTTCTGTGCAGTTAGTGCATGCTACGTCATTGTGCTCAGCTTCATTTTTACATTGGTTAACATACTTCGTAGTGGTTCGTGACTCCAAGATACTTTCAGCTGAAGCCAAGTAGTGAGGGTAGCCAGGAGAGTAACAATATGTGCCCGCCGAGCTGATGAGAAACAAGCCACCAGCGGTGCAAACGAGCACACAAAAGCGCCGAGACATGCGTTTGACACTAAGCAGACCGTTTGCAAGACATTTCATCTTAGACCAACGTCTAACTATCTGTATGACACTATCATGAGTATCAACCTCTGAGGCAGACGCGATCCAGTGCAAAATGAGGGGAACATGGCGTTTTCCGTACTCAACAATACCATCAGCCTCAGGTATTGACTTCCTCTTCGGACGGAACTTACCACTCAGGCTTCATGATATTGTCATGAGCCACCAGCATTACTTTCCCCTTCACAAAGTGTCACGCGTCACTAACTGGTGGCTGGCGCCTAGATGCTCATCGAATACCTTCGCAGGCAGTTTCCTCCGTCTTCATTCACCGTCTCGCTAACACTGTTCACTGGAGCTTACGTTGCCTGGGCAGGAAGGATGCCATAGTGATAGATCCTGCTGCGAGCCTATAAAGTCGCCTGGAAACTGTTTACTCTGTTTCTCCTTCGCTCCATCTCGCGTCTTCGACTTCGTGGCTGGTATCTAGCTGATTTGAGGCAACTTCATCATCGTCCTACTGATAGTCGTTCCCCCCGGATAGCTCTCACCATGGGGCCGTCCAGACGAGCCAACGTGGTTCCGAACGCCTTTGCCGGTGGCTATAGCCAGACAGTCAAAAATCGGTCAGTCTTCTGCTAGATACGCTTCAGATCGGTCTGGCTGACTATACTATAGGCTTGACAAGGTTGTCTTCCCGGATAGGTATGTCTACTACTTCACTCTATACTGCATGGGATATCGTGATGTTCTACGGCTGACGCAAGCTTAGAATCAAGTGCGGAACCTGCAAGAAGTTTCGGTACATCGGCACTTTTTCTAACAGACAGTTGGACATCCTACGTCATGCCGTAGTGGCCGATGGAGTTTCGCCTGTTACCAGCGGAATTGCCAGATGCAGACAGTGCACCGGTCCAGGCAATACTGAATTGAAATGCTCCCAGTGTGATCGTGTCAAATCGATTGAAGAGTTCGCGAAGAACCAGCGTCAGGAGCGCGATACTGCGGTATGTTTCCTCGGTTTAGTTGCGGTGGAGTGTAGCTGGGCTAATCCTAAGACAGCGATGCATGAACTGTGTCCAGAAGCATACGGAGACTGAGCCCTTGATTGATGAAATGAAGCAGATCACCGGGGGCGATGATACTACTGCTAGCTCTGTTACTGTTGGGAACCCCCCATGATCTCTACTTCTATATCATCTTTATTTTAGTTGGGATGTACTGACAAGCTCGAAGAGTCAGGCAGGCACTAGCTCTATGGCTGTCTCGCTCAAGCGGCTCCAGCTGACCGGTGCTCATGAAGGATCTGGTTACAGCGACGATGAGGATGACGATGACGATTTGTCCGTTGGCGGCGGTGTCTTTCTTGAACCTGGACACACCGACGAGAACAGCAGCGCCAATAAGGGCAAAGAGAGAGTCTTCACCGGCTACGATCCTCAGGGAAACCCCCATGTACTCACTCACCGTGCGGAGGCCACCCAGTCCTACGAGAGCGAATGGTCTGTCTGGGGAGTCAAGAGCAAGGCTACTAGAAGTGAGGCCGGTCCCGCCAGAGCAACGCCGAAGAAGGAGTCCAAGTTCGCAAAGATTCCGGTAAGTGCAAACGACTTTGCATATCTACGAAGAGTCGATGTTAATGACGAGTGATTCCGCGCAGCGCACCATCTATGAGAAGGGTGAACTGCCGAGCATGGCCATTCCCGACGCCAGCGGTGCGAACATCCCTTCTGACGACGAAGAAGAGAATGATTTGGACGGCTTTCTGTGAGCACACTTGGTATCCCAGGGCAGAACTCAGATGTAACAGTGATTGTGATCGTACTGAGTCTGAAGTTATTGGGATTATCGAGATGACCGGAAAGCTGTGAAAGCCCATATGAATTTCTTCTGTCCTCCATTTCGGGCCACTGTCTTTATTTTTTTATTGAGCCAACCAATCCTGTTTTTCTAAGATGGTGTGACAAGTGTACTGTGGCAGCCGGGAGCGATGGGTCACTGCTAGGAGGAGGCGCGATAGTGGCTGGATTTCCAATTGCGGTTCCATTGCTGTTACTATTCGGTTGTTGTATCCTTTGTAGTGCCAATTGAAGAATATGGACGGTTCCACCCTTATCAACCATGGATGAAGCGATCTTGATTTCAACTACAAAGTAGGCTGGTTCCCGCCCAGGAACCATAGACTGCCGACCCGCTAGTGTGGCGTCTTTATATAGCGGGTTAGGGAAGCATTGAGAATGATTGTAGAGCTTCGCTAGTAGTTTGACAATTTGCCACCGATGATCATTTTAAGAAGCCAGTTCTGTAATTGCCATTGGCGAATGATAGTATTGATGAAAGTCGAAGGTCACCCAAGGGGGTGGCCGAGAGAAGAAGCGAAGGCGAAATGATTCCATTCCGTCTCCCAAATGAGATCCCCGCAGCCCGCTGGCCATGACGTAGGCGGCCTCCCTGTCTTTTCTTTTCTTTCCAGTGTAGACAACTCTGTCAAGTGTCAACATCTTTTTTTAGTTGTCATCTGCCTTTTTTCTTCTTTGTCTTTCGATTTTCTGTTCCTTTCTGCATCAGACACGCGACGAGCCACTCAAGCTGTCAGTCTTCAGCTCTATTTTCTGTTTTGTTGCCAGACCCAGCCCACTTCGCTACACGCTGCGTGTATCCCGTTGGTTTCAGCATCCGTCGCCCCTCTTCCTGCCCCGTCTTTATTTTCTACTTCTTTCCCTCTGTTCTGGTGCAGACCAGTCAGTCCGTTGCCACACGATTGTCGCACCTCTGCTTCCATTTGCTTTGATATTTTTGTCCTTGGCTCTCCCTGTAGCCTTTTACTGCACCAGCTCGTTACCTCACTCACAAGGCTGCTCTGGTGATTACCTTGCGCTCGTGATCACGCAGGGCAGACAAGACTGACCGGCGTCGTGCGCCCCGGCACCCAGCGCGATGGCTTACAACAGCTTCCCCAACAGTCCTTCTTACTCGCAGTTTGGAAGCATGAACCATGCCAGTCCAACCGAAAATGGCGCATCATCTTACACTCCTCCGTACCCTGCACAATATGGGCCGGAGCAGGTGAATATGCCTCAGCCTCAAGTTCCTCCTACCTCCGCTTCTCCGACAGGTTACTATCCGAAGCCTCCCTACGAGCCAGCTCCATGGCAGCAACAGCAGCATCAGCAGCAACAACCACCTCCACCACCTCCTCCTCCCGGGAGGATCAACGAGGCTGTGAATTCGGCCTTTCGCCAGGCTGACTCTCCAGCCTATCTGTCTCCAGAGGTGGTCTCTCAGATAACTGCGACGGTGATACAACAGCTGAAAGCGACGGGGTTGGACAATTTGCAGAATGATCAACAGCCGTCACCACCACCGCCGCCGCCGCAATGGAGTCATCCAGCTACAGCTGCCATGTATGGTGAACCCTCTCGTTCACCTGGGCCGCAAAATACCCCTCCACCACCGCCTAAGATCCCACAGGGTAACCCGGAATACCAAGCACCTGTGCCGCCTGTACATCCCAGCAGCCCTCATTTATTCCCCGGACCATCCGTGGGGCAGCCGGGTGAAAGACGCGGATCGCCAACAAGCCAGAGTCAGGCCAGCGAGCATCATCAGAGCATGGAGTCCCGACCAAAGCCGCCATCAAGGGAAGCTACGGTAACTGAAATGACAACATTGGACAAAGTATGGGGCAAGTTCTTCGAGGATGGGAAGCCAACAGAAAAGCTCAGCATGCTATTGCGCGGCATCGCAGTCCACCTTGTAAGTGCTGTCCGCAACCCGTGTGTTCTGGAGGCTAACGAGTCTGCTGGGTAGATCGAGAATTACCCGCCGGAGAATACTCTCGTCGTAGTTCCTGAGAAGATGAAACAATTCTATGCAGATACAAGTGTTTCGTCTGATCCATACCCTTGGGAAGGTCGGTTCTTGTGAGCCTCTGTAATGGAGCGATTGTCGCTGACTTTGACTAGACATCTTTGACGACCGTACATCCCAGATCTCGAGGTTGCTGCGAAGGCTTGAAGTGGAACATCATCTCGTACAAAATAAACTCCATGAGAGGCCTGATATCCCGGGCCTGACTCCTCGTGGTTTTGCCCGCTGGGCTACTTTAATGATTCAGGCCCATCCTGAGAAAGAGTACGAGCGCTTCCAGAAGGCGCTCTTGAACATGCCCATCAACAACCCCGACAACCGGAGTGAGAGATTACCCAAGGAGTTCTCAAGGCGCTTGTTCCCTGATGCCCCAGACCTCTCATTGAGGGAAGAGATTGACCAGAAAATCATGGAGTTTTGCAACGTCGACTTGCCGCCTATCACTGAGGACGAGCTGAAAAAGGTGGCCGCACAGCGTCACAAGAAGTCTGCACACAAGGCATCAGTGAGCTCCGTCGACTCAACCCCTTCAATGGGAGAGCGTGAGCGTCAACCCTACTATAGCACATCATCTTCTGCCATTGTCGATGATGAAGACAAAGAGGTACCATCGCGGCCCATTGAACGCGAAAGGAAGCCCTACACTGCGCAGCCTGGAGGTGGTAAAGTGCACAAAGATAAAGCACCCAGCCATCGCCATGCGAACTCGATGTCCGCAGGATCTGGCTCGAAAGATGGCCCGATCGAGATCGGACCCCGAATGTCGGAGACGCACCTCCACACCGGGACTTCACGTCCCACAACTACGTTCGGACGATCTCGAAGTCCGTCACGGGGGGCTCATACAGGCGGCGACTACAGACACTCCGAAAGCGACCTGTTAGGCCATGGTAGTGGCTCTCGATACGAAGGGTTGGCGGACAATGACTACTACTACCCCTCAACTACATCTGCCCTTCCGGGAGACATCGACGACAGTCGCAAGTACCACAACCTTAGCCCCGACCATGGCGATAGGCGACTATATGACGCCCTGCGGACCCGAGACAGTGAACGAGAAAAGATCAAGCGCAGCAGCTGGGGCGGCGATGAGGATTACTATCGCGCGGCCACCGGCTACGACTATAAACCGTATGGGTATAGGTGATATTGATATGCTGACCGTGTTTGACCATCAATACTTATCGTTCTGGCGCGCTTTCTGTATGAAAAGAGATATCCGTTTATGAGTTATGACTTATGATAGCGTTCATTATTATTCTTGGCTTCTATGTTTTATGTTTAGCCACTGACACTTAATTCCTCTTTGAAAGTGTACCACGAACTTCCCTCAGTTAATGAACCTTGGCTCCTTGTCCTCCCTTCCTCTTCTGCTATAAAATGTATAATATCACTAATACCACACCTTTCGGAATCGCACACACATCATTCACCCCCATCCACCCTCTTCACCCTCCTCCCCTCAATAATACTCATAACCCTCCCCCCCTCAACCCTACACACCTCCGCCTCCCCCTCCCTCCCCCTCTCCTCCCTCTCCCACATCTTCCAAATCCTCCTCCGATCCCTCTCCTCCCTCTCCTCCCTCCTCCTCTTCCTCCGTCTCCCCCTCTCCTCCTCATCCACACCAACACCTCCATCCCCCCCTTCCACTTCCACTTCCACCTCCCCCCTCAACCTCTCCACCTCCTCCCTCCCCAACCGCCACGGCACATCCAACACCTCCACCAAACACCGCGACCGCTGATCCACGAACCGCATCTCAGCGTTCGTGTCCCGCACAGGGAATACCCGCTCGAGCTGCAGCTGGTTCACGCCGCGGAAGGTGGTCACCGTGCCTTTCAGGTGCGCGAGCGTCCCCGGTGTATACGGGCTTATGTCCAGCGGAAGGGCGGTTGTTGGGGATATGTGTGTATGCATTCCAGATGGTGGTGATATCATGGATGTGGATGGTGTAGAAATGGCTTTCTGAACTACAACGTCGAGCGTCGCACCGCTGCTATCGTCGAGCGCGAGGATCGTGAGCGTGGGTAGATCCGTTCGAGAGGTTATTAGTCCCAGAAGGGAGATGTATTGAATGGGATGGTTTTTGTGGAAGTAGGTTTTGGGGTCTGCTTTTCGATGAGTGGGTTGCATGGATGTATGTATTGGGAGGGGAGATGAAGATAGAGTATAGTATAGTATTGTGCTATATGTAGCAAGGTATGTATGTGGATAATGGAGGGTGGAAATGGGGATATACCTGGAAACTCCGGCCTTCTTTTCAATCGCAGTACATCCACCGCGGCCATCTTCACCCAGGTGAAGTGGGTTGGGGATGCCTTGAAGCAATACGCTGGGTAGAATTCAAGGGCGTCATGGTTTTTTGCTGTCGCCATGCCCGTGGGAGGGGGGGCATTTTCATGGTTGGGGTTGGGGTTGGGTCATTGGGTTTTTGTGTGGGGGATATAATAGAGAGATTGGGAGGATGAGGTGGAGAGATGGTGGTGGTGTTTGTTGATTTGGGTAATGATGGGGGTGGTGAGGGGAAACCGGCTGTTGCTTTGTTATCTGTCACGTGGGGGATGGGGTCATGTGGTGATAAGGGGTGATGTATGGGGATGTTCATTTATACTTCCTGTTATTTGCACTTTCTTTACATTCTTTGTTGGGTTCAGTATCGGTTACTTGGTCTTAGTGGGTTGTTGTTTACTGTTTCATCTAGAGAAGTAAGTAATATTAAATAGTTCGGAGAGAGGTTATTGGTAGATATTAGTGCTACTTGACTACTACACAGCTGCATCAAGAATGGAAGAGAGGAAGAGCAGTAAAGGTATTAAAGAATGATTATCACCCTAACGCGTGAATGAAGCCTAACGTGCTAGTAATTGAATCTTGCGACTGCAAGGTATAAATACAAGCACCATCCTACTTTCCTGATCAAGTAGATGACTCCATTGTGTCCATTAGCCTCCTCACTGATTTCAAGAATGGTCGCTAACTCGGTGAACTCCTCATCCGCTATGACCAATGCAGCTTGTCCCCAAATTCCTAACGCCCCAGTTCGCATCTTGGCTTCAGGAAAGTGCACCTTCATTTTTACAACAGGCCGCCTTAAATTCCATTGCCCGTGCGAGGAAGGGAGATTTCATCTAAGTTCGGTCGATCCCGACAAGAAGTGTGAGCGGTGCGAACACACTCTCGATTTTCATGAAGATGCTGTCTCGTCCGCAGTCTCTCAACGTACCGAGCAAGGTTGATATCTTTTCCCACCATTCTATGCTGTAGCTTATCATATAGCAGTGATGCCAGGTGAAGACGGAAGTGGGACTGAATATCGCTTGATAGGTTCGATCCCATCCCCAAATACATATTCCATGGCTGACAATAACGATAGAGGATCTTTCGCATATATCCCTTAGACAGGACACGGTGACTGAGCTAATCAAGCTCATCGATGCCTATCCCGTTATCCTCGTTAGAGGAACTCCTGCCAGCGGCAAAACCACGTTGGCACGGTTACTTCAAAGTCGTTTGCAAGATCAAGGACGCATTGTCCCATTCTTCTACACTTGGAAACAAGACCTTATTACATTCGACCCAGAGCCATGGGTGGCACTTGCTAAGGCGCTCAAACAACGTCTTCCAAGCGGTCATACCCCAAACATCATGAACGATGAGGTTGTTGTGATTGTGGATGAGGCCCAAGGGTCATACGATGATGATTACCTGTGGAATCATATAATAAAGTTACTGATAGACAAGCCTCGCAGATATAAACTACGCATTTGTCTCTTCTGCTACTTTGGAAGTCCATCAACGGGTGTGGAACCACCTCAGGGTTTAAGTTATTGTCCAGCCATTATACCCGAAAGACAATGCACAACACTCACGCCCCAATCGTGTAGTGAATCACCGAAAATTGGCCTTTACTATACCGAGTCAGAGTTTGATGACGTTCTTTGCCGAATTCTCCGATGCGATTTCCCCGACTGGGTAGTTACCTTTGATGACGAAGCTAAGAAATATCTGTTCTCACTTACGAATGGGCACCCCGGAGGCGTAACGGCGATGATACGGTTCGTTTGTGAGGTAGGTTCCGCATTTCACTACTATTGGTGTCTATGATCGTTTTTGTCTATGTTCGTTGTAACCTGAACGGCTAATCTTGCGGTAGACCTATCGCGCCGAGACGAAACATGACAGGATATTTGTGATAACCCAGCAGCATGTTCTCAACATCCTCGACGGTGATGAGGAATCTGCCTTTGCCTTCGTGGCGAAATGCGGCGTCTCTCGCTCTTTCCCTAAACTAATAGACCTCAAAGGTCCAGTTCGCGAAATACTGTGCGAGATTACAGAGAAGGGGAATATCAATTGGGAACAGAGACCAGGGTTGAAGAAATGCTATGAAAGAGGCTGGATCCACAGGATGCATACGGGTCCAGAAGGGAACCCAGACCAATATGAAATTGCTGTTCTGCCATCCCGCCTGCATGAGAAGTAAGTATCGTCATACATATCTGCTGTTGCTTATACTAAGTAGAACTCCTTAGATGGCTTCAGTACCTCATTACCCAAGACAAAAGACCCTTGCCGCCGCGCTTCACCATCTTGAGTCAGTTGTGTATGGAAATTCTACATGAGTTTTCAAGGATGAACCTGAAGCCTTCGACCACCGACAGGAAACTGTCAACCGCAGCACAACCTAGACCAGTTGAAACGCAGTACCAAGACGAGTTCTACAGGGCGTTTTGTAAAGTAGCTGGCCGAGGGGTGCCAATTTCCACAGAATGGGCTAGGACGGCATCTGGGAGAGCCGACTTTTTCATACCAGAGAAGAAGTGGGCAGTGGAACTGGTGAGAGATCATGATAGGATTGATGATCATGTGAAGAGGTTTCAGAAGGGAGGGCAGTACTTTGACTGGCTACAGAAGAAAGCCGTTGAAGATTGGATTATCATCAATTGCGCTACCAGTGTACCAACTTCAGGTTCGTTTCTTGTTCTGGCATAATATTGCATCTTGCTGACCACTTTATAGATCATGAAGAATGTCGACTTCTCCACGCTGTCTTTTTGAATGACTTCACGGAGGTACAGATTCTCAATCACAAAAGGCAAGCCTTGAGCGATGTTGTCTGTCTAAGGAACTGATGGATATGGTTATTCTGTAGATCTTATATGGTGGTTGAGGGAGATTACAATGGGAAAAGAAACCTGCGTCGGACTTTATTTTAGCTAGCAGATTATACTATATCATGTCTGCTGGTCTGGTAGGGAGAATAGGCGGCATCCAACTTCATTGTCCATGGCCTGTAAAATCATTTCGTAATTGCAGATTGTTTAGACATGGGAAACTAATACTTCGTGAAACAACTGCTGCGTTACCAATGGCCTCTTTGCTACCTGCTAGAAGCTGAGAGCACAACAACACTTCATCAAACTGGATTCAAATCAATAGTAGTACAACTATTTTCTCGAACCAATATATATATCTTACACAATCAATCCAAATTCAACCCACGCCTCAAAACACCCATAAACATACACATACACATACACACATATAGTACTCCATAGAACCATCCATCAAAATCACTCCTCCTTCCTCCTCTCACCCCCAATCACCCAATTATTCAAAATCCCCACCCCAGCATTCAAATACGTCGCCACCCCCAACCAAGCCGCATACGGCGTCATCAACCAAAAAGCCACCCGGTCATGTTTCCACCAGATATGCATCAACGCCGCCACATTCCCACTCAGAAGCAGCAGATCTGCCAACGCCCACGCCGGCTTCCGGAACATGAAGAACAGCGGCATCCAGAGGTGGTTCAACGCCAGTTGAGAGATGTATAGCGTTTGGGACTTGACGGTCCAGTCTTGGACTATTGATGATGGTGATGATAGTGAAGGGGGGTATTCGCCGGCTATGGTTCCTGATACTGTTGCGTGGTGGATGGCGAAACCCATCATGCCGTAGAGGACGGTCCAGACGACGGGGAAGGCCCAGGTTGGTGGGTAGAGAGGGGGTTTTTTGAGAGAGTGGTAGGTTTGTTTGGTGCGGCCTTTGCCTGGTTTGTCTCAGTATTTGTGTCTATTCAAAGGGGAGAGGTATGGGAGTGGGGGAAGCTCACGGTTGGTATGGTACCCGACTAGAGAACCCGTCGCGATGGGCGTCACGATGGAGACTAGGGGATGGGCGAACATCGCCTGAGGGAGTGCGGCGGACCAGGGCATGGTTGGTTATTTTTTCAGATTCAGCTTGAATTAGTAGAGAATAATGAGGACCTGGAGTCTTGAGTGTGGAGTTGCGATGTATTTATTTGTTCGTCTGGATCGATCGATCGCGGAAGCTGGAAGTGGTCGACGTCATCCGCATCCGACCAAGGAATGTAAGTGAGGCGTGGTAGATATAACCGACTGTCTTCAGTGGGGGGATATTTATATTGGGGGTGAAGACTGCTCCACTGGAAATAGTATTAACCAGGCGATAAGCCGAAGGTTGATCATGCAAGTATCTTGTTGATTTCAGGGCTTGTCAATCACTCGGTTTTCCCCGCATTTGGTGAACCACGGCGTGTGGAGAAGCTTATCACATGCAGGAGATGATATAGGGCATGTCTACATTTGATTGAAAGATGAATGAAGATCTGTGGAGCACTGCTTATGTTAGAAATATGGAGTAGTCTGTGTCTACTATCTCTTCAGGAAGGAGTCTGGCAAAGTAATGAGTCTTGTATGTTAACACCGCAGCGCTTGGCCTTGAAGTGGTTGATAGAGCAGGTATGCAGAGCGACGTCTGTGATACGTCCGTGGGCTTATGTAGGTGCTTTCTAGGAAGCTTGCTGATGCTTTGCTAGTGCAGTATTTACAGCAGAAGTATTTCAGCATTTTGACCCTGTTGCACATTGTTCAAGGATAGTAAGAGCATAAGGACCCAATGCAAAGCACCATGTACCTGCATTGTCTGGAAAGCTGTGCAAGCTCATGTTATCATGGAGATGGGTACTAACAAGACACCATACTCTGGTCATCAGTGTTAAAATTTCACCGCAGACTTCTAGTTGGGATAATTCCCTGCACTTGCTGGAAGATGAATAGAACCTGTATTAAGCAACTGCAGTAGACAGAGCAAACTAATACACATTGCTATGACAAAACACATGACTAGATCTGTCACAACAGATAATACATGAGAAGAGAACAAAGGCTAATATACAATGCTTGATGATGTCGATGTGGTGCCTCTAACTATAAAGTCTCCAGATGACGCCCTCACCAAATCCCCAACCACTTCTTGACAGGCCGCTTGTTACCCTCCCAATCAACATACACATTCTTATCATCCTCACCCTGCTGCTCCTTAGCCACAGGAGATTGGTCATCCACAGCCACCTCCCCCTTTCCATCAGCGCCAGCAGCATCCTTCTCATTAGGCTCCTCCAACCCATGAGCAACCCGATACTGCCGTCTCTTCTCAGCATCGTCCACCCGTCTGCGACGCTTCTCCCTTGTCTCGATCGAGTTGTGCTGCACATGCATCCGGAACACCGAGATGGCCTGCCTAACCGTATCAATCGGATGCGACAGCAGTGCCGACCACGGCGGCAGCAAATGAGCGAATGGCGACGAGTGCTTGAAGTTCGTGGTGAATGTAAAAGTAGCCAGGGAGGTCAGTACACCCTACACAATCACATAGAGTTAGCAAAGCACACCACAAGTACGCTGTTCATATATCATTGCAATTGAACAGCTAAACAAGGAGGGATATCTCACCATCGCAATCCAAATGTGAATCCACCGATTCGTCAAAAACTTGTGCATTACGGTCCCCTCAGGCGGGAACATGTTCGGGTACTGCCTGTGCTTCTGCTCTTCCTTTTCCTTCTCACTGAGCTTCGGCCCCGGGTAGTTGATGGGACCGCTGTTGACAACCTTCCCATTGCGGGTTTGGACGACCCGGCGCGCGGGGTGGGATGGAGGACGGAACTTGTCGGGCTTGGACAGCACGCGGGGTTTGCTGTCATCGGAGGCGCATCGCTGGGTAGTGCTGCTGGTGATGCGGTAGGTGGTTCGTCGGCTCAAGGCGCGGAGGCTGAGCGGGGAGGGAGCGCCCCGGGGGAGGAGGAATTGGGGGATTGTGACGGGCGGCATTGTGTGTAGAGCAAGGTGGGTGAAGGCTCACTGGTGAGGTGCACCGCAGATGAAAGCTGGAGTTGGCTGCTGGGAAATGCCTGGCCTGTTGGTGTCGCGGCCCGGGTATTTTTTTCCTGGTGCTGCGGAGGATATACGGATCACGTGATAATGGTTTCGTTGAATCTACGCTGTGCTACTGCTGGAGATTGAATAAAGATTACTGTGAAAGATATCAATCAGATATTATGTGTATTTGACAAATGTATGGCTACTAATGAATTCTTTCTATGTGCATGTGCATGTGTTTGCAATAAACCAAGTATGCGGTTCCTGGTGCCTGTTGAGGCTGTTGTTCCCTCTGCCTCAGGCCACCTCGGGATTGTCCCCGGCGGAGCGGAACAACACGAATTCCCATGACAAGTCGGCCAAACTCGGAGGACAAATGATGGCGCGCGAATTTCCAACACCAGGGCTTTGCGGGACCAGAAACAGTCAATTGCGGTGGCCCAACTCCGTATCTTCTCCGGGTCTTCTCCGTAGTTACCGCCCTATAATTGTGTGCGTTACGTAGGGAACTGGGCCACCATGACGGAGGCACAAATATGGCAAGTATGAACACAGGATGAGATCATTCGGAAGCGCTACGTCAGTCGCCGGCAGAAAAGCCGCTATATGCTCGGAAGAGATTCAGCGAGTATCATCTCCTATTGTAGAGTAGTGTAGGGACTCCCAAAAAAAAAGCATGGAGTCTCAAGCCTGGCATGCACAGGGGTCAATTGACCAGAACTCGGTCAGATCGATCTGGGTAAATGGAGACAATTCTTGGGAAACATGGAGCATGGCTCAAAAAGGACACCGGCATCTTGTCCCGGAAGCGCCCGTTGTGCTGAATCATCTCATCCCTGATTGGCCACAACCCGGATCACGGGAGGCGTTGGGGGCAAAGGCTGGCCGCTCTTGTACAAATTGATCGCAAGTTTTTCTTCCCTCGTCCGATTTCTCTCCTCCATCGCTTCTATTTTCCCCAGGATATCCTCCGCAAGACCAATTCCTTTGTATATTACTCTTACACCTTTTAATACCCTTTAAATCCCTTCACACACATTCAAAATGGGCAAGGACGCTTCTTTCGCTCCCGGTAAGCTGACGCAGTTTTCCTTGTTTTGGCCGCTCCTTGTCTTCGGAGGCTCTTCATTCACTGGTGCTTTCAAACACTGCATTCACCCAATGCCGTGATGGTTTCCCGCTTTATGATGGCTGTTGCTGGCGCTCGAAACTTCTGCCTGCTGTGACTCGATTCATCGCGTTTGCTGTCGCGTTTGCTCTACATTTTCGCAAACCGCACGCTTTTACTCTTTAAACAACGCTGCGTCGGAAGACAAAAGTCGACTTCACAATCACAGCATAAGTCGAGCGTCACATTTGTCATCATGAGCTGGGATGCCTGTGTTCTACCTTGCTGGATCCAACGTCGCGAGGAAATGGCAGAAAGGGAAAAGAGAGAGGCCGAGGCGGCAGACAAAGCCAAACAACAGCTCGCTAACATCGACTTCGATTCAGGTGACTCCGCCAAGGGTGCTAAGCTCTTCCAGGTGAGTTGTGATCGCTCTGCGTCGCAAGTCGACATTTGCTCGGACAGAACAGTATACTAACGTCGCATCCAGACTCGTTGCGCTCAGTGCCACACCGTTGAGGCTGGTGGTCCCCACAAGGTCGGCCCCAACTTGAACGGTCTCTTCGGCCGTAAGACCGGTCAGGCCGAGGGCTACGCCTACACCGACGCCAACAAGCAGGCTGGTGTCACCTGGGATGAGAACTCTCTGGTATGCTCCGCTCACCAAATCGCATATTGTATAGAAGAATTGTGGCTAATGCTGTCTGCAGTTCTCCTACCTCGAGAACCCCAAGAAGTTCATCCCCGGTACCAAGATGGCCTTCGGTGGTCTCAAGAAGGGCAAGGAGAGGAACGACCTCATCACGTATGTGCTATCCCGAACGATCCAAAATGGCGTATTGCAGAGCGCTGACAATTGTACCTTTACAGTTACCTCAAGGAGAGCACCGCTTAAATCACCTCACCGTCATGAACCTTTCTAGAACCCGCCTGCCGAACATTGTCCGCTTATCCGCGCTGGAAACAGGCGGTGAGTCGGCAACCCGACAGTCAGGGACTGTAACATTACCACGCCCTTGTTTACCCGCGATAGACCTTTGGCGTTGCTGAGTTGGAACGATACAGATACAATAGAGTCCTGTTTCCTTCCGCGAGCGCTGTCTACATATTCCCTTTTTGTTCTCTTTTTTTACCCTCCGTCTCCTATGTGTCCTCTACGAATGTGTTTCCTTCCAGCCCTTGTGTGTATCATGGTTTTAAAAACAATTTGGTTGCTTGAGACCATAATGAAATGAAGAGATCTCCTCTCACATGACAACAAACAAAACAATATGCTCTTTACGCAGTATCAGTATAGCTTAAGTGATTGCTTAGACTACCTAACCAGGCCGCTTCCCTTTTCTGCCTGACGGACCGATGGCCGTGCGCTGGACCCCGTCCCGAGTTTCAGATGTATCACGTGCATCCCATGCTGGCCGGGGATTCGTCCTGCGCGACTCCGCGACCACGTATGTGCTGCAGAGAGGAGGGGACGGAGAAGGGGACCCCTCGGGGGTTGGAAGTGAGTAACTCTACTACTACTACTACTACTAGTATCTACCTACGAGTCAGCGAGGAAAACAACGGTGGCCAAACTGCACCGGCAATCTGGCGGATGATCCTTGCAGGGCCGTGGAGGGCAGCTCAGGATGGTCATTGGGCCCGGCCGTTGGGCCAGTTGTCAGCCAGCCATTGATAGGTAGGTTCATGGTCCCGAGAAGGTACCGTTCCTCTAGTAAAATGACCTTAGAGCCAACCAGGTAGCTGCTCGATCGGAGGGTAAATACTACGTACCGTCCTGAAGGAGGGGGGGGCCAGAGAGGAGGGGGAAGAGAAGAAATGGATTACTGCAGTCTCCCATGGGGTAACTTGAACTTGAACTGAAGTGAACTTCTACGTATCGGGCTTGATTGCGAACTACGGAAGCGACCGGTACGGTGATAGGTAGGTTCAAGGAACCTTTTCGTTGGGTGGTCATGTGGTCGTGACTTAGGATGGATGGATGGATGGATGCGAGTCACGCCGATATGATGGTTGTCGAATGGTAGGTTATCTGGGTGGGCTTATAGTTTATCTAGCGGGGTGGGAAAAGAAATGCAGATAACTATCGATAAAAAGGTTCAGGAAACTGCAGTATGTCTGTCTGTTAGACTACGTGAGAGTCGTGAGGAAATTGTTCCGGATAAGAGATATGTCTCAAAATAATTCTGTGGAGTAGATAGTGGCCGGGGGGTAAAGTCGATCTGGTGGGATGCGATGCGATGCGATCCAACGCGAAGTATAGTACTTTGTACGTAGGCAGACACCCTGGTTGCTTGGTTATCGTCAGGAGGAAGATGGATCGGTCTGTCGGTCAGGTCCTAGTCTGTCTGATGAAACGCAGTCATTGTAGAGTTCAGTTTGAACCCTGCGAAATCGAAAAAGTACAAGGTAGGATGTAGTCTAGCTCGGTCAGTAGTGAAGTAACTAAGTGTTTATGCGCGAGTGAGCCTAAGCATCAGCATCGGTGATTCTGGAGGGGAGCCGATGGGCCCGATAAAGATAGATGGATACCACCAGGAGGCTTTTTCTTTTCTTTTTCTTCCCTCCACCAGATGGAATGTTCCTAATTTTCCACAGGAACGAGATCCATGAACCAAGGCACGTTCCCTATTTTTACGAGGACAATTCTTTTGAAGAAATATAGGAATGTTGCGACGGGAGGTTTAAAGAGTAAAAAGGACATTGTCGACTGGGAGCGACCGGGACAGAGGAAAGTCTAGACAGAGAGGACAGACAGACTGGAGGCTACGATGGGCCTGTAGGGATGAGCATCCCATGATCCCACCTGACCCGTGGCGCGGCGATTCTGATTGGACCAGCCACCTAGCGGGGCCCCTCCATGGGTCGCTCTTTCCTTTTGATTGAAATAAAAACCCCAGCCGTGGAAGGCATGCGAGGGGCGGGCCGGTATTATCCTGTACCTTCTTGTACTTCCTGTACCTGAAGACTCCCATCTATTACCATCTATCTCCCATCAAATACATCAATCCATTCCTATATAAACTACTTCCCGTATTATCATTATTGTCTCATCCCTACTATCTAAACTAACGGCGCAAAGCAGCTGCTCCAATAAATCTCCTTCCCCCCTTCGAGGTGACCCCTCGTGTGGGTGTGTCCTCTGCAAGCGCCTCTTGTAACCCGTCGTGACTTGTCGCATTCCCGTTAGTCCGCTGGTCATTTCATGACATACAGACAGACCAGGCAGACAGACAGACAGAAGAGTGCAAGCAAGAAAGAAAACTGGTTTAGCCAAACAAATCATCTATTCTTGTCTGCATTCTGACTGATTCGACGGACTGGACCATCTTTCATCTTGCTCTATCTACCTCCCCACTTCTCCCTCAGTTCTGTTTCGTCGGGTCGGTTTGATCGCTCGCCGTTGCTGGCCATTCCTCAGGCACTCAGGCTTTCCCCCCCGGGTTCTCGTCCCGCGTATCTTCTACTACTACTACATTGCTACCCTCCCACCATCATTCAACCTTCCCATGTCTTGCTCTCCCTCCTCCCTGCTCTCTCTTGGATTCACTCGCAGGGACATCTATAACCATATACGCTGTAATCTTGACCCCTTTTTCTACCCTTCACCCCTGTCATCATCCATTCCTTCCCCTTCTCTCCCTTGGCGCATAGCTTCTATTCTCCCTTCCTTAACCGGATCTTAGCGCGCCCGCAACTAACCCTCGTTCTTCTATCACCTTGATAGCACCCACCCTCTGAAGTTATTGTCTATTGCTGCGCAAGTCGTTCACGACGTCGCAGCGATCGAAAGTGGCCTTGACTTCTTTGGTGTTGCAGTGCGCAACGCCGTCTATCATGCTAGACGAGCTGGAAAGCGCCTTCGACGAACATCCTTCATTGGATGCGTCGCTCGAGGACTTCGAGAGCAATAGTAACGCTCGTCAATCCCCCGTTTTCGGTCTGCCTTCCCAGCATTCGGGCTTCCGCTCTGAGGAATCGGATGGGGAGGATGACGACCTCACGCCTAACGGAGATCGCTGGTCGCCTCCGGGCTTACGCAGGTATGACTATGTACAAGGAAGTGGTTGGTATCGCCATCAGCCCTACGTGCGCAATCCCGATTACGACCGTTTCTGCCTCAAGCCCTCGGTCGGACTGAGCCCGTCGCAATCGCGCGAGCCTAGTCCGCAGTATGAGGATGCGCTGGAGGCGCCGACCGCAGGGAAACGCAGCCAGTCCGCAGAGACAGCTGACATCACCATAGCCGCCAATGTCCCCTTGCCAGCCGACGCAGAGACCCCAGAAAAAGGTCGCTCGCCGAGCCCGGGACCCAAAGGTGCAAGAGCTAGCCCGGATGGCGAGGGTCTGGACTTTGGGTCGGGGAATAACCTCAGCAATTGTAGGCTTTATCTTGGTTTGCTACCCTTTGCAGCTTCCTGGCCGGAATGAACTAATTCATGACGCCTCAAAGATATCCGGTTCGCTGTGCGCGCGGAAGTTCAGCACCGTGAGCCCTTTGTCGCATTCTTTAGTTACTTGCGGTCCAAACTCGATAAGATCACTAGCTCCAAATCCAACGCAATTCTTTCTGTAATCGTTGCTTTCATATCGATCGCGTTCATGCGCGCCTTATTCCTGCCCAGCGTTCCTGAAGCGATACCCGATCTGGTCAAGCTGTCAGGGTTTGCGCGCTCGTTCGAGCCCCTCATCTACTATTCGGAGAATGGCGCGCATCAAATAACCGCCTTGCAGGAGACTGGGGTGGCTGTCTGGGACCTCGGAGAATCGGTGCGCGGGACCAATATGACCAGCGCGCCGATCATTGTCCGCCAACTGGATGAACTCTCCGAGTCCCTCAAGTCGCTCTCTCTGGAGCTGGCGCGCTTCTTCTCCGACGTTGAGGGGGACATTGACTCCATCTTGCTCGCCATGGATTGGGCCAAGCGTGAACTAGAGGCCTTATCGTCGCAACCGCCTAGTACGTTGCCGTCGGTCGTTTTCGATAACCTCCACGGGATCTTTGCGCGACTGGGGGCGCTGGAGCGACTTAGCGCCGCGAGTGGGGAAGGGTCCAGCACTGAACTGACCAGCACCCCAACCACCTTTGGCAACTTCGTCACCGCGGTCTTCGGCCAAACCTCTGCCCAGCGTACCCGCACAACCCTCACTCGGACCTTTACCGAAATGCTCTCCGTACTAGAAGAGGCGATCAACAACGAGCTGACGCACTCAACGGCGCTGTTCGCGCTCTTTGAAGCGATCGACCGCCAATTTCTGAATCTTCAACGGACTGTAGTCCGCGAGTCGGATGTACAAGAACGCGAAGAGGGCGAGATGCTGGAGTCGCTGTGGACTAGGCTTATGGGAGCCAATGCTGCTGCGATTCGCAAATACGAAAAGAACAAGCGGCTGCTCGCCAATGTCCGTAGTCGCACTGTCACTAACAAGCACCTATTGGTGGACCACCGCGGCCGTCTACTAACCCTCAAGGTCAATCTGGAAACCCTGCGGCGCAAACTTGTCAGTCCGCTAGTTCGACGCAACGACTCGATGAGCTTCACGGGCATCGAGTCCAGTAGTCGTAGCAACGGTCGCATGCTGGGCCATGTTGAGGCTGTGATTGACGGACAAATCCGAGGACTCGAAGGCAGCTATGATTACCTCAAATCTGTGCGAGACAAACAGAAAGCCAAGACTCTGGAGTTTTACTACGGGTTCGGGCGGCGCTTGCCGCAGAACCCAGTATTAGCCGACGGGTCGGACGATCTGGGGACGGACGCGATTGACGGGGTGTGATGCAACAGAGTCGATGCATAGGCAGGCGTTCCTTGTCTTTCTGCTCCTTCTTTTGTCTCTGTACCTGCATCACGTGGACATGGCGTTGTCGATCTGATCCATTCGGAAACATTCGGTCTTGTGTGCTGTGCACATGGTGGGCGTTCATCTACAGGTCCCCTTTCTTCGGTTACTTACATCTCGCTTCTCTCTCCTCGCATCGCTCTGGCTAGCTGGCGTACACTGGCGTCCATTGCGCTACAGATTTTCATTGGTTCTGGCCAGCCCTATCTTCTGTCTTCTCTCATCTCACCTCGTCTCCACCTTCATCTCCCTCTACCTCAGTGACACGACTTCTAGGGCTTTTTCATGTTGTTTGGCATCACAATCAAAAGCGGGAAGGGAAAATTCATAGACAAGATTTGATTTGATTCATTGCAATCTACCTGCTGCAACCTCGCATCTCGTGACATGTCTTGTCTTTTGTTCCCCTCCATTTACTGCCATCCACACACCCTTTCCTCATTTCTCATCTCTTCTCCCCTCTCATCCCCCGAAGTTTATAGGCTGGCCGGCCGGCTGGTGTGGTTGCCTGCTTACTTGCTTCATCATCATCATTGTCTACTGTGGCGCACGTGGTCTTCGGTTTTTTTCGCTTGGTTTCCCTCAATTCAGATTTCTCCTGTCAATAGTTGGTGGACGGAGTGTGCTCGGTTATGGGTACATGGTTGGTTGGTCGGCTGGTTATGGTATCTTTGATTGGTAGTACATGGTGTTGTAGTGTGGTTGCTTGTTATCTATCATCTATCGTATCTACCTGTCTTTTTCTTTGGATCTACTTTACTCCTTTCCCTACCTACTACTTTTTGTGTATCGATGGGATCTTACCATCGTATCATCATAGTATATATACGAGCTTACTACTGGCTGTTCCTCATTATTACTAGCATATAGATCCATGCAGCTTCGTCTGTAGGTATCAATGTGATTTTAGTAAGTAGTGATAATCTTGCTAGTATTGAGGTAACCATGTATCCCGATTTTTAGCAATAGCCATTGGATACGTTGTAAATAGCAAAATAGTAATAATAATAACCATAATAACGGAGGAAAGGAATTCTAATATCACAGGAGTAGCCAAGGTTTTGACTAGGCAGGCATGAGGCAAAGCGCAGCATAGCATAGCGTAGCGTAGCACAGAATAGTGGATACTGATTGCAGTGCAGCAGTAAATTTGAACCCAAAATAGTGAGAAACAAAGATGGGAAGTAAGAAATAAATATGTGTTAATATAATATGTGAATCGAATCAAGCAAAGCAAGCAAGCAAGTAAGTAGGTAATTCCTCGCGCCCGGCCGCAAATCAAGTAGAAATGTGAAACTCCCGCCGAACTCCATCCGGATGCTAACTGATAGATCGATCGAAGTATGGTCTTGGTAGCAAGTAGTTATGGTAAGTAGGTTTTTTGGTTTCTTGGGTGACTTCATGATAGTCTGTGTGACGGGTTGTGGGTGCCACTGTCTTTGTCATGGCCATAGTCATGTTCGTCACTGGTATGGTGAGCCTGAGCATGAGCCTGAGCATGTGACTTGACTCGGTTTGTTTTTTTGTATTTCCCCAGTTTTTTCATGGTGAATTCAGAAATGGGAGAAAAGGTAGAAGCATCGCCCCTCTTCTTTCCTTGCCAGGTGAGAAGGTAAGATGCGACGACCGAGTCCACCTTAGAACCCATATCCACCCCCATACGGCGTAACTCCATACGGCGTCGTAGCACTAGGACCCCATGCGCTAGCGCCACCACCGTTCGCATACGCCGTGAAGCCACCGTCCATACCCTCGGGGGGTTCGTAGGCATCCGGACTGCGCACACCCATCATATCTTCATCGTCGCCGCCCATGACGCCATTGCGGTCTGCGCCTTCGGTGCCTGATAACGAGGAGATCACGGAGGCGAGTTTCCGTTGCAACACTGTGATTCCTTGCTGGATGATCATGTCCGGCTCTAGGGTGCCGATGCTCTCTACGTCAATGTAGAAGCTGTTGGGCTGGGCGTCGTAGTCGAATGGTTGGTCTGGGGGAACGGGCTGTTCCCATCCTGCGTTGGCTGAGACGGGCCTGTATTGGTGTCACTGTTAGCATCCGACCTTCGCTTGCTCATGTAGAATACCATCCTCTGCAGTAGGTGACGCAGAAAGGTGCTGGAGAACAAAGACCGAAGATGAAGGTTGGGATAAAACATACCATTCCTTCGCCGCATCCTCCTCATACCAGTAATCCACATGTCTCAAATTGTTATGCGGATCGTATTCAAACCCAATCGCCGACGTAGGCATCCACTTCGCATGTTCCTTCGCAATGCCCTTCTTCGCAATACACGTCATCTTCAACTCCTGACCGCGTCTCAATTTACAAATCAAGGGTCCGTTTCCCTCAGGATCCAAAATCACCGGGTTTCCCACCCACTCGTTCGCCCGTTCTCCTGAAACCACGAGATCGCGCGCATACACCCGCATAATATCGTCGCCTGTGCACCGCGCATGCAGCGACAGGGTTACAGAGCAGCGCGCGCAGTGGTCCTCGCATTCGCAGTCGCGCGTGTACTCGACGTCTTGGTCGCAGTTTTTGCTGATCAGGGGAATAAGGCCTAGACGGTGGGCGAGAAATTCGTCGGGCAGTACGGAGGTGTTCTTTTCCACTTCAACGAGATCGATGGCCATCGTGGGGATTTCGGCGAGCATTACTCGGCGGAGGGAGTTGGCGAAGGCGAGGTCGACGGAGGTGAGTTTGAAGTCAACGCGGGTAGGTTCGGCCTGGTAAGGTTATGAGAGTTAGTAGGGATGATTGGACAGGTTGGATGGGGTGGTTGTGTCGTATGGGCTGGTGTTGGTATAGAGGGTGGATAGGCGGATTGGTAAGAGGTGAACTCACTTCGCGGACAGTGACTTGGGGCCCGGTGGGCTCAATATCCATCTCGTAGTCCATGGTGGGTGCGGTTAGTAGCGCAGAGGCGCTACCTATCGAGTGGAGGGATGGTTGTGGTAGTGAAAGATGGAGCAGCGAGGAGAGGACTGATGCTGGAGGGAATGATGAATGGCGAAGGAGCTGAGGTCAAGTTCGTCGCCGACCTGCAGCCCGCGCTTTGCCTATTTGGGTAATGCGTCTGCCGCGGCGTTTGCCGCAGATCAAAATTCTGAGGTCAGTTCAAACTTCAAAGACTAAAGAGCAACAAAACATATTAAATTTAGTGTTAATTATATATGGGATTGACTGTCTTCAGATCTACGGGTCTACGATCTCTACGAGCTTACTTTAAGTTACACACTGAGCAGACAGCCAGCCCCTATGGTCTTCTGTTGCCTCGCAAAATGAGGAGTATGCTTGCTTTCTTCCTTTGCAGGTCAGATTCCTAGCTTGCATGAGCAAAAGGCAGTTCATCCCCAGCACCAACGGAGGCACCTGTCGACAGCTCTCGAGCCAGAATAGCTGGCGGGCCATAGTCAACCAGCAAGTCGTCGCAAGGGTATATCAAGTCGAAGAAATATAAAGAAAAAGAAAAAGAAATGACCCCTTCCAAAAGCAGATGCCCGCTCCAACCGTAGGATGCGATCCCAAAGCATGTCATGCTGACCCCATCAACTTTTGCTCCATCCGTCGGCTGTACCGCCGCCAGACCGTACTCCTCTAACATTCTATGCTGACGCTCCGTCATGGATTCTATAGTGGTAAGTGCGCCTCACGCGCGAAAGCCGTCGGGCTGCCCAAATAGCCCGAAGAAGAGAATTAAAACCAAAAGCAGTATAGCCAACCAGAGGCAGAAACCCAGGCAAATGAATCGAAGCAAGAAGGTAAAATCGAGAGTAGCTTTTCTTTTCGGTTTCAAGATTCATGTCAAGTCGTCATGGAGCTCTAGCCCACGGGCAAGTCTCCATCATTTCAACTTCCCCGCCCTTTTGAACGAAGGAAGAGAAATGATACGCCATCGCTACCTCCGCAGGGAGCTGCGATTCAGCGCTTCCAGAAGCTCGGGACGACTGGCAAGCGATTCGGCCGCTTGCGCATAGGTGACCCATTGACGCTTCCGCTTGTGCATCTCGGGCCACTGGTCCTCTTCCCGGTCCACTGTGACCTCGAAGAACTGGTATGATGCTTTCGGTGCCGAGGACGTTAATAACGTCGACGGGCGCATGTCCGGGATCAATCCCAGGTCTTTGTGCACCGTACATATTATTCCACCCTCTTCCCAGGCTTCTCTACAGGCAGCTTGTTGGGCGCTTACTTCATCGGTCTCCCAACCGCCTTTAGGAAGCACCCAACCGCCTCGCCCCGCGGACTGAATCATGAGCACCTTCGTCTTGTCCGCGGACAATGGAACCACACCGGCCACGAGTCGTTCACCTTTCGGTCCGTACCCTATACACAACGCGAGTTAGCCACGTTGCGCGACAAATAGTATTGCGTCATATTGAGAGTTGCAGTACGTGCAGAAACCGGTGAAAACGGTATTGTAGAGTGATTTCAAATGACCATAAGCCCAGGGATGTTACTCACGTTGGTTTTTGCGTCCCACACGGGACTCCATTGAGCGAGGATGATCCGCCATTTTGAACATTGGAAATCAAGATAACGAAAAAAAAAGAATAAAGAATAAAAGAATAAGAAAACACCAGAGAAAGGTCTATAACGCGGTCTATATAGCAAGAATTCGAAAACCAGTGCGACACAGCCAAGCTGTGCTTCACGCGACACAGGTATGAAAGGAATGGGAAGTTTCAAGGTTGAGGGAAAAGGTCAATGACACCGATTCCAAGACACGATCGGTGTGACGACACTGTCGGTGCTAAGGGAGGCGTGAAATGTCCAACGACGGAAATTTGAGACAAGAAGAAGGCCCGGCCTTGTGGATGAGGAGCTGGCCGGTGAACCGTGAGTTCCTGTCTTGTTCCCGAAGCGAAAATGGGCCAGGCGGTCGAAGTAGGCCAGGAAATTTTTGGGGAGGGTAAAAAAAAAAAAAAAAGATTTAAGACTGGAGGGAAATTTTAGGAACTAGGTATCCCCGTTCACTCCCGCGGCGGACGGGAACCTGGAAGGAGAGGTGTGAAGGTAAAAGAACATCATAATCGGAGGGATACCAGGAAAAATAAGGGAACGGATAGGGAGGAAGAGAGGGACGGAGGGAGGGGGGGGGAGAGGCGAGAGGACGGAGGGGGGGGGAAATCAGAGACAGCTTTGGGGATAGTAATGGGCGGCGCGATCCGGTCAGGAAGGTCGCTCGCTCTCTGTGTCTCTCTCGCCCGGAGCGGACTTTGCGCGCTCTTCTCTCTCTGTCTCCCTCTTACAATCCCTCGTCCATACTCTCTACTTTTCGCTGGACGGTACCGTCTGGGTACAACCCCAGTACTGTATCGCCGGCCTCCCCGTCCGTCTGTCCGGGCTGCTTTCCACTGCTTTTCCACTGCGTTCTCCCCTCAACCCGACGCGGTGGGTTCCCGTAATACTGGTTCCATACGGGTTCTTTCGGTTCTTCTGCTAGGTACCAGTTACCTTACTGGTACAGGTACCACCGCTACTCAACTTACTTACTTTTGCCCCCCCCCAAGTCAGCCTATGCGACTTGCTCTTTTGAACGCTTACTATAATGTCATTATTCTAATCGCTGGGATCTTTTTTTCCGGTGGTACTATTGTTCGGTTCCAGGGGTCCTCTGCTTGCTCATACCCTCTCACCTAAACTGATCCTTTTCCCTTACCATTGTCTACTCTCTATGGTACTGTAAAGTAAAATTAGAAACCCCCAGTCATACGTAGCTTTGTGGAGTGTGTCCGAGGGCAATCCATGAACTAGACTACTTTGCACTATATGGGCCATCCCACCGGACATGCTGATACCTCCCAAGCGTAATTCTGGCGGTTCCTCTGGGTCGATTTGGCTCCTCTCTTCGGTGGTTCACGCGTCGGCGAGTCACAGACTAGGTCTGTTGCCCTCCCCATGAACTGCTCCTGAGTCTCCCGAAGGTCTGCGGACTCCTCGGAGGTTCCACAGCAAACCGGCTGGACCAAGGGAGCAGGAGTCCTCTTTTCCACACCCACACACACACACACACACACACACACACACGCACACACAAAACGGGGATTAATTTTTGCTTGGGACAGCAGCAGCCTAGAGGGTTACTGCAGCTTCCGTTGTCCCCTAACTCCCATCTCGGTCGAGTCGGTACTTACGGCTTTGCAAGTCCATCTCATCTCCCAGCAACCAAACGCTGTGCCCGCTCATCCATTTACACTCAAGGCCCTATGGCACTATCAGAATTAGGGCCCCAGACTAGTGGAACAGACAGTTTCCTTTCGTCTCATATTACTGCTACTATTAGCATGGACCAAATGAGCAAAATAATTTATCTTACTTTTTAGGTCATGTCTCCATCAGTCTAGTCTACTTTTCTATTGTTCTCCTTTCGAAGGAAGCAAACCGGGCCCTTGTGCTCTCCGCCGTAAGCGCTGGTGTGTTCGAAATAATGACGAGGGATTCAGCGTAGATACTGTGGTTATGGTTATCGATAGAGGAACACTATAGTTAATCCATCGTCCTCTCACACCGGTCCCTGATGGCTTATTGCCAACCAACCCCTTTTTCCCTCGGGGTTTAAACACACCATTACTTAATATTTCCTCAATATGGCTATATTTAATATTAGTCCTATTACTGCCCCTTTTTCTGATATAGCCTACATATTGATTTTGTCCGGTTCAAAACGAACTCACGGTGAAGAACATGAGCAAAAACCGAAGACAACCCGGGATCGGTCCACCTCGTTTACCATCTCTGGATGCGGTACTCCGTGCGACGGGGAACCCTGTGCCTACTCCTTTCTGATTATTTGCTGTGTAATACTAAATCCGTCTCCTCAATGTGGAACTGTCCGCGACTCGCTGGTTTCCCTCTCTCGGTTCGAATTATCCACCAGCCGATCTACGTATCTACTAACTATGTGCTGGATACTCATTCATTCATCTGACTGGGTATATACTACTTAGTTAAGAGTGAGTACTAAGTGGTAGTAGCATCATGCAGAGTAGAATATCTGCATGTAGCGCATCGATGTCTGCACCCCTTTTCAACGAATGATATCAGAATCAACTACCACATGCGACCCGGCAGTACCTTGCTACGTGTTGAGCTATTTCCGATGGGACGATTTTGGAGCTTCAAGCTGCATCGACAAGTGGTTATCGAATGATCCAGCTACGTTATATGTTTCATTCAACTCCTGATGAATTTTACCTTTTTTGATTTTATCTTTTTTTTTTTCTTCTTCTTCTTCTTCTTCTAGTTTTGTCCCCTTCCTTTAATTTTCCCCGTACTTCCTGCGCGCAAGCTACGGATTGGATACCATATCATGCGACGGCATGCCCTGCATACATTAGGCGCCTCGGATCCTGGCGGGCTCATTGGAGGAGAGCACACCGATGTCACCGACCTCGCCCAGTGAAGAGGAAGAGGGAAATAGTGACTAGGTACTAACACAGTAGAGAAGGGGGGAGAAAAGGTTGACTATGGGAACGGATGCGGGGCAGCAGCAACCACTCGGCCGGTCACCAATTCCTCGAATGATCGGAAGGGTGACTTCTCTGAGTTTTCCTACTTGTTTCTACTATCTACATTATGTGACCTCTTTGTCGAACAAGGGATGATGCGGATGCGACAGCCCAACAATGAAGGCAAAAGGCATCCAGACCGACCTGCGCGTTCGTGATGATGTATGCGGGCCAGGGTCTACCTACATGGTACTTGCTTTGCTCACACAGCGTACCTTGCCCACCGCCGAGGAACCATGGAGGGGGGAGGAAAGGTGTGTGGTCGATCAGAGCGTTGAAGTTGCTCGGACGATGCGGTGACTAACTGCAAAGGAATGGAACTACTGCGGTAACCTGCACAGGAAAGACTAATAGTGGCTCGAGAAACTTCCCGGTGGCGATTGGATCTGGACGCGACAACGCAGCAGCGATCTGTCGAGGTGCGGATCCTGAGATCCTAGCATCGAACAAGCCGTGATGATGCCGAT